GGGCAATTTAGGATCTGACAGCTACTACTCAGTGATCATGGAAGAAAGCTAAGGCTCCAATTCTTTATATATAAAAGCAGTTTAATTTAGAGTTTGCTGCTGTTTGAGCAGCAAGACGATCACATACCTCCCCCTTTATCACAAGAAAACACCTCAGTACAAACCCTAAAACAGAGGTTAAAAAAGTGTCTAAGCTAGGTTCTTAAACTTGTTGTTCCAAAACACTCTGTAGGCTTCCAAAATAAACCCAGGTTCACTTCTGAGAATCTGAATACTGCTATTTAAAAGCCTCAGTAAGACTTGAAAGTCTAATTTCAAGCACTCAGATTTGCAACTTGCAGCCTTATTTACCAAAGAAGGAAAATAAAGGAAGTGAAATACCTTCAAGACAATACTGGGGAAAGTATTAAGCTATTTGCTTGTAAATCTCACAGTATGATACTGTTCATGCAGTGAAGGAGCACAGTTCTTGCATTCAAACAAGCACTTAAAACTACAGCACTTGAAGGCAACTGGAAAGATGAACTTACTAACCTGGTAATTGCTGGGACCTTTTTGAAAACAGCAGATTGAATCACAGATAATAACTGAGCTCATTCTTTCATATATATGAATAATATCAACAGACAAACATTATTCCAAATCTCACAGGGGCACTTTTCTGGATTAAGAAGGGGTTTATATTTTCTGAAGGCATAAAAAAACTTTATAAATGAAAATTGGAAAGGAAAAGCATGTTCTAAAATTGTGCCATTGAAAAATTAGCCTTTATCTTCTAGATTGAAAAGTATAGCTTGAGAGCATGTATAAAGCAGTTTCTCTGAGTTTATTTTTTGCATCTGATGTGCAGCAGGGATGTATGCTGATGTAACTAAGTACAGCTATTTGTGGGGGTCCTTCCCTTAAATTATGAAATAAGGGAATGAACATTTTGAAAATAAAATATACTTGTATCTTTGAATTGTAAAAATATTCACAGGGCTTATGGATAGAATAGAATGCTATTTGAAACCTAGATCTTAAAACTTAGAATCATATTTCAAGGGGACAGAAAAGAAAGAAGACAATATTTATTAGAGAATAAATAATGTCATCAACATGACACAGTACTCAGTACTGGAATAAAATCAATTTACAGTACTTCTAGACTGGTAGCTGCCTATAATAATGTAATTTTTTAAATTGAAATAATATTCACATGAAGAAATCTTACTTCATTCTTCACCCCTCCCACTTATTTTTTCATGGCAGGAGAATGAGCTGAGCCACATTGTGTCCTCGCCTTTCCCTTTTGGAATCATATCTTCAGGGTTTCCAGGGAAAGGAAACTACCGATATACCAACCTAACAGCAGCCCAGCACTGCTTTTTACCCTTCCCTAAGAAGCCATAGACTTCTGCTCCAGAACACACACCAGCTGTGATTACCAACTCATCTTCAGTTTAGCAGACAAAGAAATGAGGACATCAAAGTGAGAAGGAATAGCAGGGTTTCACCAATACTAATGCCAGAGAAAAGAAACTGAGTGTTACAAGTGAACTGAAGAGTTAACAAACATATCCTCATAGGGAAAAATACATTACTGTCAATAACCCTTAAGATGCACAATGGCAGCTCACCAGCTGAAATCAGTAGTCATGTTTTCTTACTTAGCTATTTCTTCCTCTTAAGGCATTTTTGTGTGCAAATAACGTGCAAGAAGCAAACACAATGTTGGATTGTTTTATTCATCATCACATTATCACCAGCTCTGTCTGTTTGTCCCATTTCTATCTCACATAGAGGATCAATCCCCGCCTCTGCTGCCAAAATGGCTTTTGGCACTGAAGTCCGGTGGAGTAACATTTGCAGGTAGTCCTGCCAGAGTCGTCACAGACAAGAACATCATCTCTCCCTGACACTCAAGCTCTGAGTTATCAGGGTTACCACAACATTGTGTTTGAGAGGACCATACTTCCACCTTTCAAAGGGTTTGAATCCTTCCTAGCTGAGCAGTAATTTTTAGAGAGCTATAAGCATGCTGCATTGGTGCTTGATGCACCAATAAAAGCAGTGATTTGCCTCTTGAGATCTGTCTTGGCTCCTTCCCTGCAGGACCATAACAGTTTTCAAACAGCTGACTTGCACTGAAGTCTCAAAAGTTAGTCAAACAAGAGTCTCTGGAGTACAAAGGATAATTTTTCTAAGATTTCCTCTGTGGAACTCAGTGCTGCAAGAGCCAAGTGAAAAGTTCAGCTTAACTCTCTGGCAGTAAAAGAGTGAGCTGTTCTTACTGATTTGACTTTGATGCAGTAAGGTTTCCCACACACTCACTTCATCCAAACACATGCAAACCCAAAGAAATGAAACTATTTCCTGTACAGTGTTGGAAATAGAAGAGAAGAAAAAACATTAAGTAAACCCACATTAACTTTTTTTTAATAGAGAGGAAAGCAAAAGCCAGAGAAATTAATATCAAGCTAGGTCAACTTAGTTTAGCAAGCAGCTATCAACAGTAATATTATAATGGAGATGAGCTGGTTTCCCCAAGTCAGAACCCTGGTGTCTCCAGGGAGAAAAAAGAAAATAAAGGCTCCTCATGGTCAGCATTGCAGCCATAGAAAACAAAAGGTGGTATAAGCAGATGTTTCTTGAAACAGCTCCAACAGTGCTGGTCAATAGTCAGGATCCCACATATCCAGAGTAGCAAAGGTTCTTCATTTGCCTTCCTGTCCATTGTGGCAGCCATAAATTATATTGTTGGTGCAGGCAGCCATCTCATCTGACACCAAATTATCATCTGCTCCCTGATAAGTCGGGAATCAATAAAATAAGAGCTAAAACCAGCAAAAAAATAGTATTCTTTTTCCTTCTGTATTTTCTGAAGTTTCTGTGAACCATGAAGGGTGCAAAGACTCCATGCAGAGTACCAAAAAGCAAGAATTATCATTTTTAGAACCACAAAAAAAAAAAAAAGGTATCTTCACTCAGATTTAGTCACAGGATGACACAATATCTGCAAGTCCAGTACTCAGTGTTGACTGACCCTTCACAAAAAAAATTGCAGGCAAATGCCTTTGTGCAAGGTCTCAAAGCTATTATTTTCTGATGTCATGGAGCTATTAGAGGAGGATCAGCATAAGGTCAACTAGTAGAGAACACTGCAATTGTTGACTCTTTTATAAATCCTTCTTTTAAATGGGTACAGTGTATTTCTAGAATCTGAATCTTCCCAAATTGAATAAGTATATAAAACCTGGATCAAACTCTGCATCTTGAACTAGGTCTGGTTTTCACTACTTCAGACACACCCATACAGCTGACCTCCTGGAAAGTGGAAGGTGTTTTGGCTTTCTCTACTCAACACTGAAAAATTAAGAAAATAGCCAACACAAAAGTCCAGAGAGCTCCAGAAGTTATATACCACTGACAAAAACATTAAGTTTTTAAATTTCCTAGTTGTCTATAGAACTTCATATATATTATAGTGATTCTATCACTCTGATGCCCAGCCCAGGCTGATCAAAGTCCACAGTTTGATTTTTTTTTTTAATGGTTTATGTTTAGAAAGCTTATGTATTTATTATAAACAGGACTTTCCTCTCTCAGTATGTGCTCCTTGGGGGGATCAGAGGCTGCAAGGGCTGTTTAAGAACTAAGGAACATTCAGAAGGGAGCACTTAATCCTCATTGTGGAGGCAGACAGTTACTCTGCAAATTAGAGGTAAAGATGACTGGGTAAGGTCCAGTTTGCAGAATCCTAAATGATGTGCCCCTTGAATTCAATACATTTTATAGTAAAAGAACTTTTTTTAGAAAACAGAACATATTAGAAGTAGAACTGCTAAAGCAGAACTGACATTGGCTGTGAGAATTGGTTACTTATTCATACTTCATCATGAGACATAAAAGGAAAAAAACACCACTTTTTTGCCAAATATGTATCTGCAAATTTTTTCCTGGCAGTATTTATTTCCAGAAGAAAAGCAGGGAAAGCTTACTGTTTTTAGTACTTGCAAAATATGTTTAAACTATTGAACATTTTACCTTTCCAGAATATTTTGCAATGACCTAGAGTGTCAAACACCTAGAGTGTCTTAGATCTGATTATATTGGACACTCCTGCACCTGTATGAGTTATTTCTCCATATAGGACAGGTTCATCTTCAGATATAGCAATTTAAAGCCAAGTTTAGCAGCAGCATGATTGTTATAGGTGAACAAAGTAAATAAAAGTCCTTAAAGACTCCACTACTTTGAGCTACCTAGTGATGTCAAACCAGAAATTTTGAGTAAAAAGTGCCTGGTTCTGAAGATCTGTTTGCAGAAGTTCCCCAAGCACTTTGGAGAAGTCAAGTAAGAAATAAATCCATAGTAAAAGTGTCCCTGAGGAAGCCACGTCTCATTTTGTACCATTACTTAGTCATCACTGCCACTCAGCTCTGGCTGAAATCTTGTTTCTTTTTTTTGTTTTGTTTTTTTTATTTTACCTTTTACTTCATGATAACAAAATCAAGTTATTAAAGAGGTTTTTTAAAGGAATTGACAGTGTTTCTTAGCCAAATGTGGTTTTTTTAAGTTAACAGTAATATCACATGACATACCAAGCTTATTTTATAGATAAAAATCCTGTGACGGGCACTGAATGACTACAGGAATAGGCCAGGAAGAATTCATGCAGCATCAGTCCCTGTGCAAGCAAATTTATTTCTACTGAAGCAAAAGGGGCAGAGGAAGGAAACAGACGTAAATACTTTCAGAGATACCTTGCACTGGTTTCACCACTTGTGGAAGATATTAGCTCCTGTTTCTGAGCTATATCTTTCAAAACTCATTTGGATTAGAGCTTTCACATTTTTATTTTGGAGGGGCAGTTTTAAATACAATTAAAAGTGGTATCAGAAAGAAACCCCTGTTATCAAGGTAGAGAGGAGAGGGGCACTCAGCGAACCCTGACACAGCTGTACTGACACAACACTGATCTTCCCCCACACACTGTCTCCTTCTTACTCAGGTAACTACTGAACTTCTACTCAGCACCACTCCACAGACTCTACATTAAACACAAAAAGTCTAATGCTGTTACTACTGTATCTTATTTTTATAGTTTTGTTTGGTTGTGGTAGAATTCTCTTCTCTACACACTGTTTTTCCCCTCTGTTGATTTTGCTAGGTGACATTTTCTCTACATATTTGTATCATTTAATCTCTGCCTTTTTTATGAGGCAAATTCCTTTGGGAATGAAACACAGGAGAGACTTGGATACATCAAAGATGGCTACAAAATCCTGGTGCCAAAGTCTTGAGCTGCCCGGTTATCCTGCTAGTTGTTGTTATGTAGTTTCCAGTTTTCTGAATTTTTTGCAGATGAAGTACATGAGGGTTGTTCTCTTTAGGGTGATACGTAGTTATTCACTCAAGGACTCATTTACTCCTGTGGCTCTAAACCAAAGCAGAAGCAGCCACCAGCTATGTGAGAGAACAAACAGAGAATTCCCATAAATACCTGCCTCTGGTAAAATCATAAATAAATTTGGCCTGAAGTACTTCCATGCATACATATTGTGTGGCTTTGGGAGGAGGAAGGAAAAATGGCTACAATGGAAAGGAGACTAAGAGGAACCTACGGAAACACCCAGGGAAAAAAAAAAAAAAAAAAAAAAAAAAAAAAAAAAAAACAACAGAATTAAGCACTTATTAGAAGCACATGCAAAGGGATAGAATGGTAAGAAAAGCTACAATGCACTGAAATGCATGGGCTGAAAAGAGGTTACTATAAACCTAGGAAAAAAATTTTCAAAGTACAGACAAAGAAGTATTTCAGAGGGGAAACCCACAGAGATATGCAAAAGCAACAACAGTGGTTTTTTAGGGAAAATAGCAGCTCAAGACCAGCTTTGGCTTCTGGACACTAAAAGGTGTGAGTAGGCAGAGGACATACACAAAATTATCAGCTTTTCTTTTGTCTCTTCCACTTGCAAAAATCAGTTTAGAAGATTTGGCCTTCCTGGCATACCTATCCATGACAGGAAAGTTTTAGCTGAGTGAGATAAATTATAATAATGTATCTGCCAGTTTTAATAATAATAATGTATGTGCCAGAAAGTTAAATCAGGACAGCATATATATGCATATATTTCTGCAACAAAATGTCTTGTCCTAGCACAGACTTAGTCTGGCAATCTGTATCTGAACAAGACTTTGCATTTCCTTTTAGTAAAATAAAAAGTGTTCATTTCAAAAGGTGAACACTTGCAAAAACAGTTTGGTTTTGCTCCACTCCCAGTGTCACCTGTCCCCCACAGCTCCTCCACAACCTGTGCTTGCAGCTTCTCCAACTGCTTTTTTCTCTCCAAGAGGTAGAAACTGCCATGCAAGCCCTGCAGACACACAGCAAATTAGTATTTCATTATTGTTTTGTCAATGTTGAAATTTTAAACAGTTTGAGCACATGACATAGCCAGTTGGTTCATGTAGGCTCCCAGGCTAATTGGCACTTCCAGAGGCTGCACAAAACCTCCCCTGCCCAGCCAGCTGCAGTCAAACCCAGCTGCAGTGACAATTTCATCAGCAGTGCAGGAGCGTGAGCAAACACTGCTCAGAGCTGCTGCACACACAGCTGTGAGAAACTGGCTGTGAACACTCCAGCCTGGCCATCAGCTGCTTCTAATTTACTCAGGTATCTTTGGAAGATTTTCTTTGGTCAGAAGCAATTCTGCAATGACTCACAGGAAAACAGACCCATCAAGATGCTGAATTTGGCTGTCATTAACAATTTCACACATCCCTATTTATTTTGAATCCTGTGTTTGTCACTGTGGATGAGCCCAGAACAGACTAGTAATGGTTTTATTATGAAATTTTGCAGGACTTCTGAAAAATTCTCACTGTGGCACATGGACTTATAAGGTAGGGGCTTTTGTTTTAAAATAAATCACTTCTCTTATTGACTATTAGCAGTGCATTAGAAGGCAGAATTCAGCCCCTGGGTTTTCTTCAGGCCTCTCTGTAACACATACTAATATACTTTACATACGTAAAAAGAAAAAGATAATAATGGCAATAGAAAGGTGCAACAACTAACAGTAAACCAAAGCAATGTGCTCTGCAGAAAGGCTTAGAAAACTTCTCCAGTTCAAGGTATTACACAGACTACTTACTAGCTCATATTTTAAGTTCCTGTGGAAGAGAAATAGGAAGTACAGGATAGCACTCCTTAATTTTGTTTTTTTGCTCAAATTGAGAAAAAATAAGTATATGCTGATAAAAATTAAATATTAACAAAAATATAAGAAATTCAGACTGCCTTTTCCAGTAATCTTTTGATCATATTGCTTCTGTAAATATCACTAATTCTTCCACCTTAAAATAATGGCCTTGCCAATGATTTGTACTCTTTTCCTTTCCTTTTACTATGGTGCTTCAATTTCATCTCACTTACAGGGAACATATATAAAAATTGTAACAATTTTGGCTTTTGAAGAACAGCTATGCTAATATGGTCATTTTAGTTTGCTGAACTTAAAACCTAACATCATTCTACTCATTTCATCCACTCTTGCACAGAAGCTATTTAAATTCTTTGGGCTCCTTTCAGTGGACTTAGGGCAGTTACAGATTTTGTAAGATCTCCTTCAAAACTGCTGTTTCCCAAGCTGATGGTGATAAAATATTCAGAGAAGTTCCAGATTGGACTATCAAAACATCATAAAATGTCCATGATTGATACTGTCTGCTGTGTTCCTTCAAAGGCTGTATGCTGCATTTTCCTTCTTCCAAGCATCTCTGCCACACCCACTTAATCCACTATGTCTCCAAGAGACTGCCACCAGTAAAGATCCCCGTTTATTCAGGGTGAGGAATCCTCCCATTCTTCCACTGTAGGAGTTTCCAGTGCCAGCTATCCCGAGTACATCCACTTGCATGCTCTCAATCTCACTTCAACAAGCAGCGAGTAACAGGGATCCCGTGGTTTTTACTGAAGGATTCACCCACACTGCTGGAGGATTCCACAATCAAGAGGAGCAGCCCTCAAGCCTCATGCGCAGGTCCATTGCTGGACTGGGTTGGGCCCGGTGCTGTCCCTTCTTTGGTCAGTGCACATTTCCTCTCCCTGCAGAAGCACTGACCTTCACTAGAGGCAGGTACCAGCTGCATCATTTGTGGGAGCGCAAATGCTCCCAGCTGCTCCCCACTGCACAAAGTGAAAAATATGCTTCACCATACAAAGCCACATGAACAACCCTGATATTTTAGTAAATACTCTCCCTTAGAATGCACATCAGACACATCCTGAGTTGCTTGGGACACTCTTACATCCATTTTCCGAGTTTCTCTCATTTATTTTTCTTTATTTCCTTTTTCTGTGACTCCTCCATTTCCAAAATCCTTTGTATGTTTAAATGAATTGCTACTATTCCATCAACTTTAGTCACCACCACTCAACAACTGCACTTCTATTACTTTTCATTGTGACTCAAGCAATACAGTTATAGCAACTACATTTGTAAATCCTCTGAGCTGTCACTTCCAACAGCTGCAACCTGCTGATTGCTCCTTTCCTCCCTGCATTCTCCAGCCCTTTTAACTCCAAGAAGTTTGTTTGAAATGTCTTTTTTTTCATGGAATAAATTCTACTTTAAATGTAGAGACCTTCCCCCACACTTTTGAGCCTGACTGAATTTTAATAAGGGGATTTAAACAAAAATTAAATTAGCATATGCCAGTTTCCCCTCCATGTACTCGCATCACTTTTCCACCATCATTTATCTACCTCAAAGCTGATAAACACACTGTATGTATTAGCATTTTAGCTCAGAGATGCCCCAGCAAATTCTTTGCAAGTCCCACGGCAGATCCATGAGATAGTTTTCTTTCTGATTTATCTTTATTGAGGTTGGGTTTTGTCTAGCTGTGACTGCTGCTGACTGCCCATAGAGAGCACACACCCCTCCTGACCCTTATTTCCAGGCAGGATTAGGCCAATCCTATAAGGTCAGAGCTCAGAATGCCCAGGATATTTTTTTGTCCCAATTTCCAAGTCAAAGGAGAAGCAGAGGTGTTTGGATAGTTCAAGGCATGGCTCTCCAGGGCAGCTGAATATGACTGGTATGGAAATTGGTGTGAAAACTGCAGAGAGAAAAGGGAATCCACTGTGTAGGCTATAGACTCAGGTTGCTCTTCATATACTAATGGAAAGCATTGTTATGTTCTGGCTTTGAGACAAAATTATATTTTAAAACTATGATTTTGTGGAATAGCCTCACTATTGCCCTGCACAGGGGCTCTGGCCAAAGCAGAAGCAGTTTTTCTCAAGCATACCTTAAACATGGCTTAGCAAAATTCGCAATAAGTGTATCAAAGAATTTCCAGGAACAGCAGAACAGTATTTGCAGGCTTAATTGCAACTGACTTTTTTCCATTTCAACTTCAAGCTATTTTCCACGTGGCTCAAACAGTAGTGATAAGGACTGCTTTTAGAGAGACCAGTGCCATTGGTCCCAGCCATAATGTTTGTTCATGGGTTCCAGTACCAATGTAGATTTATAACAACTTCAACACCCCAACAAAACTGTCTCACATGAGAGCACTGCAACTAAATACTCTGAGTGATCAGCCAAAAGTCTGTTGTGTGTAAAAATAAAAATTTAGGTCAGGAACACAGCAAGTTGCCAGTACAGAACAGAAATTATTTTCAGAGTATTCCCTGAAATGGCATCAACCACAAACCCTGAAAATGTTTGTCTTTCAGGACATCTGGCTTCTTATTTTTCCTTATTATTTGCATGCATTAAAGTCCCTAAGGAGCTCCAGACTAATGTGTTGCCTTCCTCCTCCGTCTCATAACTCCTACCTATCACCAAGTGTTTCACAGCCTCTGTATCAGCTTTTTCATCTCCTAAGCATTTCTCTTCTACTAGATTTGTTTTGCAGCTTCTTTATTAGGAATGAATAGCATTTTTAAAATTTTCTCCTCTATGGCAATTTACCTTCTGGGTTCTGAAAAAAATTTGGAATATTTTTGCTAGCATGCAAAGGGCAATTTAAATTGAAAAAGAAATCCTATTTGTTTCAATAAAATGATAACTCATCTTTCTTTAATTCACTGTAGGGGTTTTTTTTTTGTTGTTGTTGTTGTTTTTTAGGGGTTGGGGATTTTTTTACATTCTTTACTGGAAGGTATAACATGGATATAAAACACTAAAGTTGTTATAGTAGAGATAAGTAACTACATAGTAGAGGGAAGTTATTTAAAAAAAATACATGATGCTGCAAAGGTTCAGTGGAATGTTATTCCTCTTGAATGGCAATGTTAAATCAGCTGAAAGTAAGGACTAATATCTTTAATATTAAATATTTGGCGTTGTCCACAAACAATATATCTAACCAGATTAATAACTCTTCTGTTTCTATAAGTAATTCTTATTCTCCAGAGTATATAAGAACCCTAAAAATGAAAGTTTTTTTTTTTTATCAGGACTCTTTCTTTCACTGAGGATTGTTTTTGTGAGTATGAGGGGTGTAACTGAATACACTATGAAAGAATACTGCCATACACTATGAAAGAATACTGCCAAACAGTTCAAAGACAGTTTTCAGTACCTGTACTGCACTAAACATGGGTTTTCTGCAATATGCAGAACTTTAAAAGAATTCTAGACAGGTCATCCCTTTTTGCTATGCTCAGCAGAAGGCTCAACACAGCCATCCTTTAAATCATATCTACAAAGCATTTCCAGTGATATTCTCTGAGATCCCTTTCTAAGGAAGCATCCTCTGGCTTTAACTTTAAAAAGCTTACAAAACTCTGATTTATTGTGACCATTTGTTTCCAAGAGCTTTATTGCCTAACCATAGATCAACTTGGCTCGCTTCAGTCATTAACAACAGTACATTATTAGACCAATTATAACATTCTAAAAGTTTAATTTGTAAACTATTACAAATAATTATTGTTTCACAAAATGAGGTTTCCATCCTATTACTAACATATATTAGCAATGCCAGTTCTGGCCTAATTGTGGCTTTGATTTAAGATACTTAAGTCAATTTTATTGATAAGCAGTGTCACCTACAATATATTACAGAGGACCTGAAAGTTTACAGACAAGAAGCTAAAGATACAGCTGTAAGGATATTTTTGTTATTCCCTACATCTTGATTAGTTTCAGGAACAGACAAATGATGCCAAGGACAATCCTGGGAGGGAAATTATTGCCTGGTGATGCAACTTGTCATTTATTTCAATCCTGTAGGAAAGTTTCACCCTGCCAGCAAAAGAGGATGCAAATGTTTGCTGCTGAATTTATAGACCTTTCCAGAAACCCAGTAGAATCTGGGTGGTTCACTGCAGTACCAGCAAACTCAATTGTCTGCATTTTTTTCTTGCATTCAAATCAAGTGACTGC